ACATGTGAATATATGTGTGGTTTAAGTTGCCAAAGGAAATTTAATACAAACAATACAGAAAATTTAAAAAGAAATTTTAAAATAACTTTAAGGAGACTCTGATTAAGAGCAGCCTCTCTTTGGAGAAAAATTTTAGAAAAAAATTATTTACATCTTCGATATACCTTAGGATAAGAAAAAAATACCGCAAAGTTCACGAATTTTAAAACCTTGGCATGCGGTGTAGCGTTACACTAGACAAATTTTATAGTGCATTGAAATGACCCCTGGAATAGTTTGGAACCTCAAATTGCAATGTGAAATAGTATCTGTTCCATAGATTAAATAAATCTTAATTTTCGTTATGTTTTCATATTTATCGCCTCCACCTTGAAACATCCCTAATAATCGCCGAATGTTGCTCTGTGGTATTTTGACCCATTCCCGGCGAAGCGCTTGCTTGAGGTTATCGTCACTTTGGTATTTTTTAGTGCCAACCTTGCTTTCCAAAATACTCCAGACACAATAATCCAATGGATTGGTATCCGGAGATTTTGGTGGCCATTGTGCGCTGGAAATGAAGCGAGGAACCTCATTTTGAAACCATTCTTGGGTGGCACGTGCTGAGTGCGATGGTGTTGAGTCCTGTTGGAATGGTATGCGGCAAAAATGTTTGCATGCTCAAGGCTTTAATACAACATCCAGAATATTTTCGCGATAATATTTGGCATCATGGCCGGCGCTTGAGTTCTGGTGGCCAACCGAAGGTGCACATTTTCAGCTGACCTCTTTGGCAAGTAAACATGATCATTTTTTTTTTTTGTTTGTTCACAAACTGCTGGACAACGAATGTTTTCTCATCGGAGAAAACCAAATTCGGCAGTTCACAACATTCGGCCAAGGAAAGCAAATCTTTAGCTCTTTCTAGTCTATTTTCTTTCTGATGCGGTGTAAATTTTTGCACTTTTTGGAATTTCAATGGCTTTACTCCGAGCTCATTTTTCAATATTTGCCGAATGGAATATTGCGATATGTCCAGCTCACGAGCCAATTTTAAGCCACTACGACGCGGGTTTCGATCAAGTCGCTTCTTTACTTTTCGAACCATTTTTGCTGATGTTGCTGCTGTCTTCCGTCCACTTCCTTGATGTCGGGCTATGCTACCAGCACCATGGTAACGAGCGATGGTACGAGACACAAAAAATTTATTCTCATTTAAATGCTGGAGTGCTTTAACGATAGCCACTTGTGGTTTTCCACTATCACGCTTAAATTCCATCTCGAGACAATTTTTTCTGGAAAATTCTCACCAAAATGTTTTTGTACGCTTGTAAACAATATAATTAGCTGTCACTGGAATAATTTTAACAGCTATCGGGCGAGTGGTTTGGAAATGACAGCAGTCTGAAGATGGCTGCAGTTTTTTAATCTCACCCAGATTTTTTGGAATTTGAAATAAATGTTGAACATTTAAGAGGTAGTTACCATTGGGTATGAGCTTATTGTATCGATTTTCGAACCAATATCTCTGATTCTGAAGGAGTTACATGAATGAGCAAGTCAATCCTGTGAATTTTCGAATATACGATTTATATGAGACTAGCTGGCCTGCTCCGCGTTGCCGGCCCGTACTTTTAGTCTTTAATGCGTATTTTTTAAAGCATAATAAATCACAGCCTTACCTTGATGATAAAGAAAATCTATAATAGTCCAATGTGAAAATTCAGCTCAATTTTTATTGTTGTAAAAAGCTTAACATTTTCATTCAAATGATCTATAATTTCGAATTTGTATTTCCAACGTTTAAAATCCCATACAGCTTGGTATTAGTTTTGTTCACCTCATACTTGAAGGCAGAATGTTGTCAGAATAACCAAAAAAAATACTCTTTTGGGCATAAATTTTTTGTCATTTAAATTGTGCGATGGAGATCCAATAAAGTCCACATTTTTCATCGTAGTGTAATTCAATGAAGATTAAAGAAATGTTCGGTCCCGTGTTACTTTCTAATTTCGTTTTTTTTTTTTCATGTTTCTGCCACAATTTCCGACTGAATAAGTCCCAGATTGACATTTCGGAGTTTATTTCATATAGACGTACATCCCAAATCTACGTTCCCAACCAATATTCTCTTGGGGGTTACAAATTCAATAGAATACCAAATTTTCTTTTCTGACCACACATTGGTTGGGAAAGTGGACTTGGGGGTATACTAATGTGGGGACTATACTTAAATAAATGCCTATGTGGATAATTATCTGTAAGATGGTTTTCTACCACAGGGTTTTTTACCCAATGTGGCCTCAAGACTAAGACGAACCCTTTTCCGAAAAATAAGATATGAGAAGAGGTTTTCTTCCCCCTTAGAAACAAAGATGTCAAATAAGGGCCAAAAAATGGAAAAAGTGGCCAAGACCCTGAAAATACATTAAATCATATGATGGTGATACTAAAACGTGATAATTTCTTGCAAGGATGTTTTTTTTTTTAAATTATCAACATAAGGCAAAATTAGTACGAAAAATATGCTTAAAATGTAGAATATACTTAAAATCGGGTTTTTCCTTTATCGGGGGTTATGACCCATATCATGACCTGCCAAAGGGATTAAAGGTATTTTGAATGTATGGAAAAAAATTCTGGAAGGAATTCCCTCTACTATCCTTTATGGTCGTCCTTTATAGTCGGTATTTCACGGATTGCAGTCCCAATGTATTTTGCATTTTGAGTTCTCATTGAACGAATTATTGTCATATGAAAGAAACAGGTCCACTTTTTGAAGTGAATTCCATAACGCTTTTTCGGTGATTTTTGTTTGTATAAATGTGTTCGCATCTTCCAGCTGAAGGTCCTGGAGTTGAAAGCTAGGTGCCAATTTTATACATGAAAGATCGCCATTTAAGATCGTATTACACACTCATTTCATTTTTAATATTATTCATTGAGAATTGAAGACAATAAGAAATGTACACTTCAATATAGAAAAAAGAAAGGATTGGAAAAAGACAAATAATCTTCAACTGGTTCGCTGATTTTTTTACGGCAATTTTTTATTATACCCTCCACCATGGGTAGGAGGGTATATTAACTTTGTCATTCCGTTTGTAACACCTCTAAATATTCGTCGTAGACCTCATAAAGTATATATATTCATAATCAGCATAAAATTCTAAGACGATTTAGCGATGTCCGTCTGTCTGTCTGTCTGTCTGTCCGTCTGTCTGTCTGTCTGTCTGTCCGTCTGTCTGTCTGTTGAAATCACGATAGAGCCCACATTATTTGACGTAGACCTTTGAAATTTGGCACAAGTGTGTGTATTGTCCCTAGGATGGTTGGTATTGGAAATGGGATATATCGGTCCACGTTTTGGTATAGCCCCCATATAACGGTACCTCCCGATATTCGGTATTTTGATTATTTTTGCCACATTTTTCCACGGATTTGTCTAAAAATTGACCTTTGTAAGTCGTAATGGATTCTAGCTCCAGTGGGGTAACATTATATGTATGGGTCCACGTTTTCATGTAGCCCCCATATAACGGTACCTCCCGTTATTCGGTATTTTGGTGATTTTTACCACATTTTTCCACGGATTTGTCTAAAAATTGACCTTTGTAAGTCATAATGGATGCTGGCTCCAGTGGGGTAACATTTTATGTATAGGTCCACGTTTTCATGTAGCCCCATATAACGGTACCTCCCGATATTCGATAATTTGATGATTATTGACACATTTTTCCACGGATTTGTCTAAAAATTGGCCTTTGTAAGTCATAATGACTTCTAGCTCTATTGGGGAAACATTATATGTATAGGTCAACGTTTTCATACAGCCCCCATATAACGGTACCTCCCGTTATTCGGTATTTTGGTGATTTTTACCACATTTTTCCACGGATTTGTCTAAAAATTGGTCTTTGTAAGTCATAATGGATTCTGGCTCCAGTGGGGTAACATTATATGTATATGTCAACGTTTTCATAAAGCCCCCATATAACGGTACCTCCCGATATTCGGTATTTTGATTATTTTTGCCACATTTTTCCACGGATTTGTCTAAAAATTGGCCTTTGTAAGTCATAATGGATTCTAGCTCCAGTGGGGGTAACATTATATGTATAGGTCAACGTTTTCATATAGCCCCCATATAACGGTACCTCCTGGTATCCAGTATTTTGATGATTTGTTGCCACATATTTCCACGGAATCGTTCCGATGATATGAAGATATTGATATTAAAAGTTTGTAGCGGGTGACAAAACATTCGCTGTATAGGTCCCCGTTTACTTTAGACTCCATATAACGGTACCTCCCGATTTTTGGTATTTTGATAATGTAAGTCGCAATTTTAAACGGAATTGGCCCAAATTTGTTATTTGAAATTTGTAACAAGTTCTTAATCCAGTGGCTAAGCATTATATAATATTCCGTTTAGTATTTGGGGTTTGCAATGGGGTATGACATTGTATTTATAGGTCTACGGTAGCAACAACTTTATTTGAGTATGTATAGCGCCAATATGATGGTTTATAAAAGTTGTTATTGTTTGTGCCACAAATTTAGGGTAATAGATTTTAGATTATCGCCACAGGTAGTATGGTTGTGATTTTTATTGCCTCTGTTTGCTTGATCCTGTTTTTGTACTGTTTCTACAGGTAGTACAGAGTGCATTTTGGTAACAATAACATAATAATTAAATGTACCTGTGGGTTATATAATCAAAACTCTCTTAAATTACCAGTAAACAAAGGTTAACCATAATAATAAAACTAATGTAATATACCTGGCGGTAATAAAACCCTCCCACTCGTCAACTTGGTTCATATACCTGGTACTCTACGCAGATTTTTACAAAACATCTTACCTGGGCAGTAAGTATTTGTGTATATAATAAACCAACTCAACTTTAACAAATCAGTTCACAACGAATCGTTAAACAAAACATAACCTAATACCAACGAAAATAACTGAAAAGTTTTCTATACAGATTTAAAACTGTTCCAATTCGACAATCAATAATTATGCCTAAACTACGTAAACAATCGGCACTACAACGTCAACGAATTATGAGGCAACATCTTCACAGTTACCGTGAACGGAATTTAAATGACGATCGGCTCAGAAACTCTCAACAGTTAGCAACAAGGAGACAGGATCCTGAATATAGAGAAAATGAGCGAGAAAGGGATAGAGCAGCACATTCAACTCGGCGCCAAGCAGTAAACTATAGATCTGCGGAACAAGAACGGGATATTTTGGCACACTCTATTCTCCGAATGAATTCCAGTTATCGAGCAACTGAACAGGCGCGCGATGCTTTGGCTCACGCTAATCGAAGAATGGATCCAACGTATAGGGAAGAAGAACAACAGAGGGACACATTGGCCCATTCAGTTCGAAGGATGGATCCGACGTACAGGGAGGAGGAACAACAAAGGGACACGGTAGCCCACTCAATGCGAAGAAGGGATCCGACGTATCGCGAAGAAGAGCAAGAGAGGAATACACTTGCACACTCTATCCATCGGATGAATGCGACATTTCGGGAAGGAGAACAAGAGAGGGATACTGTGGCTCGATCTGTTCGGAGAATGGATCCAACATACCGGGAGGAGGAACAACAGAGGGACACTTTGGCCCACTCTATTAGGAGAATGGATCCAACTTACAGGGAGGAGGAACAACAGAGGGACACTTTGTCCCACTCTATTCGGAGAATGGATCCAAGTTACCGGGAGGAGGAACAACAGAGGGACAGTTTGGCCCACTCTATTAGGAGAATGGATCCAACTTACCGGGAGGAGGAACAACAGAGGGACACTTTGGCCCACTCTATTCGGAGAATGGATCCAACATACCGCGAGGAGGAACAACAGATGAACACTTTGGCCCACTCTATTAGGAGAATGGATCCAAGTTACCGGGAGGAGGAACAACAGAGGGACACTTTGGCCCACTCTATTAGGAGAATGGATCCAACTTACCGGGAGGAGGAACAACAGAGGGACACTTTGTTCCATTCTATTCGAAGAATGGATCCGGCGTATCGTGGAGAGGAACGAGAAAGGGACTCTTTGGCAAGATCTATTCGGCGACAAAATGAAGAATACCGCCAAGTCGAAAGAGAGAGAGACACAGCAATGCACCGAGTACGTCGAAGAAATCCAGTTTTCCGTATTATGGAACAAGAGCGGAACACTTCAGCTCGTCGTGTCACCAGACAAGTTGCTATGCAAATGCAAGAAGCAGAAAACAGGATGAGAAGTTGCCGCGTCCTTATTCATCGTATGAATCCTACAAACAGAGAAAATATAAACATGAGACAAGCTCTGAGAAGTTCAGCAAGGAGAAGAAATTTGTCGCCGGATTCGAGGTCACAACAACAAATTCAAGATACTTTGAGGTGCAGAGCTAGGATAATTTCCAATTTTTGCAATATTATCAAGAGCGGACCCACAGAAGTTTGTATTTGTTGTGGAGGTCTTTGGTTTGTTACTCAAATTAAGACTCTCCGCAAAACATTTGTTCTACAAAAATACCCAAATTTAAGTACAGTTTTTTTCCTTTCAGACCAGTTTCCATCTGATAACGATATATATAAATTCTGCAACACATGCCACAAAATAATCAATGCGGGGAAGGTTCCTTCTATGTGTCTCTCAGAAGGTCTACATTTTCCAGCTATTCCGAGTGAACTTCAGGGCTTGACGTCGCTGGAAGAAAGGTTTGTTGCGCCACGAATTCCCTTTATGAGAATAGTTTCATTGGGTTATAATCGACAGTGTGCTGTAAGGGGTGCAGTAGTAAATGTCCCCATTTCACTCGATTCCACCGTCAACGTCCTTCCAAGAACGGCCGATCAAACTGAAGTTATCCAGGTTCATTTGAAGCGAAGAATATCTTACACACACTATTTTATGTCTGAAACGATTCGGCCCGGCAAAATTTTCGAAGCAGCAAGATACCTTATTGAAACCGAATTGTACAGGAAACATGAAATTTGTATTTCATCTGAATGGTTGGCCAATATGGGTCCTGCTGATCAAGTGCCGTTTATAGCAAATTCCGAAGATCGAAGTCTATTATCGAGCGTCATTGATTTTAACTTAGATGAAGATCACATTGAAGAACATAACCCCCAAGAAACCCTCTTAGATTATATTCCAGTCGAAAATGTTCAAATTCAAAATATTGAAATAGCTCCTGGTGAAGGCCATAGACCCATGGATTTGCTATTAGATGAGGACTCTGAAGAGCTATCATTTCCCACTATATACTGTGGTATTAAAAGAAAATCTACAGCGACAATAGCAAAATTGATAAAATCTGAAGCCCGGCGTTATGATAGAAGATGTGCGCGGGTAGACAAAGTCTTATACTCGTATAAAAAATTAGAGTTTTCTAAAATCAAGAACAGTATTTCTACTTGTTTGAGGAAGAAAATTGGTACTCGCAATTATACTGCAACGGATGCTCTTAATGACCGGTTCATACAAAATATAGTGCAGCACGACGAAGGGTATCACATTTTGAAAGGCGTGCGGTCTTCTTCAGCACATTGGGAGGCAGAGAAAAAGAAGGTCTTGGCTATGATCAGGCAATTTGGCATTCCAACGTTCTTTATAACTCTTTCTGCTGCTGAATCACAATGGCCAGAATTGATCGTTATATTGGTAAAAATTGCAGAAGGAAGGAATATTACCGAAGAAGAGGCAATGTCATTTAGCACCCAAAAACGGTACGAACTAATTAGGTCAGATCCAATTACATGTTCCAGGTATTTTGACCACAGAATAAGACACCTCTTCAAAAGTTTCACGGTTAATGGTGGAATATTCGACGAGTTTAATGTAATCAAATTCTACTGGAGAATAGAATTTCAACAGCGAGGGTCTCCTCATGTCCACGGCATATATTGGCTAAACAATGCCCCTTTGTTTGATATATCAGATCGAAATAGCTTCCAACGTGTTACGGATTTTGTAGATAAATTTGTTTCTACAGATTCGTCTAATAGCGAAATCCAAGACATAGTCCACTACCAGCAACACAACCACGGAAGAGCATGCCAACGTGAAATAAGAGGTCAAAAATTCTGTAGATTTCATATACCATATCCGCCAATGTCTAATACGGAACTTCTTTTGCCGTTTTCGGATGATGTAGATGAGCAACAATTATCAGCTCATAAGTGCAACTATGACAAAATTTATAATTTACTTAACGCAAAGTTAACAGATATAGAATGTGAACGATTAAATAATTTTGATCAGTTTTTGGCAGACCCACGGATTAATATGGACAAAGATGAATATCTTGCGGCGATCAGATCTTCTATAAGAAAACCTAAAATTTTTCTTAAAAGATCCTTCAAAGACAGATCAATAAATGCTTTTAATTCGCGGATTTTAAAAATGCACAAAGCAAACATGGATATTCAATTTGTTCTGGATGCTTATGCATGCGTGTCATATATAGTTAACTATATAAACAAGTCGAATCGGGGTGTTTCACGTTTGTTGCAAGAAACAATGAACGAGATAGGTGAAGGAAATTATTCTGTAAAACAAAAGTTGCAGCATATAGGTAATAAATTCATATCAGCATCCGAAGTCTCAGCCCAAGAAGCAGCTTACAATATCTTGGGAATGCATTTGTCTCAGTGTAGCAGCAGTGATGTTTATGTCAATACTCTCTTGCCAGAAAAACGTGTTCGCATACTAAAACCGAGGCAAGAGCTTCAAAATCTTTCTCCTGATTCAACCGATATTTATGTATCGAATTTACTTGAGCATTATATTCAAAGACCGGATAATCTAGGCGATGTATGTTTGGCTTATTTCGCTGCACATTATACATACTCTAAGACATTGCGCAAAAGGAATCGTCAACATGATGAGGAGGATGAAGATATTCTTGAAGATGACGAGGAACATCCTGATGATGTCGGGGCTTTGTTTCGCTTAAAAAATAATTCGGGTTACGTATATAAAAGAAGAAGTCCGGCTATAATTCGTTTTCCCTCATTTAGGGCCGACTTAAACAGGGACTACTATTTTCGCACATTGGTTATGTTATACTTTCCATGGCGTAACGAAGACGAAGACATTATAGGAAGAAACAACGAAGATACCTGCTCTATCTACATGGATGTAATTGAAAGGAACCGACAGCAGTTTGAAATGTTCAAGGATGGTGAATTACATGATATATTGCAAAGTATTCGTGAAGACAGTGATGGTGGTGAAGACCATGCGAGTAACGATAACATTACAAGTGACCAACTTTTGGACGAGGAGTTTAGAGCCTTGGTTGTTCCAGAATTAGAGGAAAATATAAATGTCTTCGACATTGACAACCACCATGAAGATGACCTGGAATCAGAAGCCAATGTACACTTAGTAAGACTCCCACCATTAGTAAATTTCGAAGAACTTCAGCATTTAATCAGAACGCTGAACAATAAACAGCGGTCTTATTTTCAACATCTTTTACAAAATATAGTTCAGAAAGTTCGATTTTATGAGTATGTTGCGGGAGGAGCTGGCGTAGGAAAAAGTCGCCTTATAAAAACTATTTATCAGGCAGTTACTTTTAGATATAATTCTATACCTGGCGCTAATCCGGATTTGCCAAAAGTATTATTAAGTGCTCCTACCGGAAAAGCTGCTTTTGGAATTGGAGGTGCGACATTACATTCACTTTTTTCCCTTCCAGTAAACCAGTTCCGAGGAGAGCTACGTCCACTAAGCAGTGATCTTGTTAATAAGCTCTTGGTTAAATTTACAGATCTGAAATTGATCATAATAGACGAGGTCTCCATGGTTGGATGTAGAATGTTAGGTTTCCTTGACGCACGCCTGAGGCAGATTTTTAAAACCACTGAAGCCTTTGGAGGAATCTCTATAGTTTTGTTCGGAGATCTAAAACAACTGCCTCCAGTTGGGGATAAATGGATATTTAGTACCAATACTGCTAATCCATACCACATCCTCGCAGGGGGTGGCTTGTGGGATCTGTTTTCCTTTAATGAGCTAACAGAGATAATGCGACAAAGGGAGGACCAAGATTTCGCGTTTGCACTGAACCGAATGTCAACTGGAGAAATGACTGAAGAAGATGTTTCGCTCATAAAGTCAAGGGTCATACCAACATCGGAGATACCAAATGAAGCAATTCATTTATTCCTGTCAAACGAAGAAACCGATAATTATAATTCCCTTAGATTGGAACAAATCACATCTGAACAATTTGTTTCCAAGGCATCCGATATTTTGAAGTCAGATTAATTAGCTATCGGTCAACGGAATCAAATTTTAAGTTCGGTTCTCAATTTAAAGACCTCAGAAACGCAAGGACTTTGTAGTGAACTAAAATTAAAATTGAGTGCAAAATATATGATGACGATCAATATTGATACCAACGATGGCCTAGTCAATGGAGCCACTGGCATACTGAAGCATATTGATTTTGGTAGAAACTCAACAAAACCAATAACGCTTTGGATCTTATTTTCTGATGAAAGTGTTGGAAGAATGGCGAGAAGAAAAAAACCACATCCCACAGAATTATTGTGGACTCCCATTGAAAAGTGCCGCCGAACGTTCCAGTACAAACGGAATGAACAAATAACTATAGAACGCTTACAGTTTCCATTGGTAGTTGCAGAAGGTATAACCATACACAAAAGTCAAGGCGCAACCTATGAAAAAGTTGCTGTTCATGTTCGGAAAGGTATGAGTAGGGCTTCTCTCTATGTCGCTTGTAGTAGAGCCACTAAAGCAAGTGGGCTATACATTATTGGAACATTTACTCCACCAAAACCTTTCTGCAGCTCTGATGTTGTCAAAATAGAATTGGAACGGCTTAGATTGCATAAAGCCATACACTTGCAGCATAGTAAGTTTAACACATCGAATAACGCTTTCACAATATTTTATCAAAACATACAAAGTCTGAGTGCTCATCATTCTGATATTTCTAGTGATGTCACTCTAATGCATTGTGACCTATTGTGTTTTGTGGAAACGTGGACATACCCGGAAGAAGAACTTTTCTTTGACAATTTCTCAATATTGTCACGAATAGATTGCAATCATACTGAAGGAAGAGTAAGAGATAAGAGGGGTATCGCAATTTATATTAAGAACGAAAAGTTTTCTGAGGCAAATATTATTTGTCAAAAAGATCTAAGCAGAGGCAGAAAATCATTTCAGTATTCCCTCATCCAATTCAGAGATTTGTATCTTATAGTACTTTACAGGAATTCTTCATATCCCGAATGCAACTTCAAACGTATTTTACTTGAAGCTATATGTGATATTAGAGAACGTTTCGGCGATAATTCAAATATTGTAATTGTCGGGGATTTCAATATCTGTAGAAGTAGTCGAACTAGTACAATTGAAACTGCTC